CGGCCAGCCTTACGATGTCTTTTAAAACAAGGGTCCAGGCTGGGCGTGGTTGCTCACGCCTGTAATCTCAGCACTTTGGGAGGCCGAGGCAGGCGGAATCACCTGAGATCCGGAGTTCAAGACCAGCCTGCCAACATGGTGAAACCCTGTCTTTAAAAAAAAAAAAGGTTCCTAGCTTCTGCAGAGAAAGCCCACCCCAGTGGTCACTTGTTTGAGAAGGCCTTTCGTGATTCCTATTGCTGGCTACTTCTTTTCTTGTGTGTCCATCTCATGCAGGCTAAAATGGGAATCACACTCTTCTTGCTGCAAGATCCATAAACAATCTCTCCCTCCCATGCTCAGAGGTCCTTGAAGAGTCTAGTTGTTATTAATCTTAGTCCTTAGAAATGTCCGGTAAGACAGGTGCTATGTGATGACTGCCTTGTACTACACAGCTACAAAGAATGTTTCTACACAGCCAGAATCCCTATCTTTCAATGAAATAAGCAACTCCATTAGAGATGTGGCAGCAGCCACATATTATGAATTAACAAGGACTGTGGCCGCCAATGGTGGGCTTAATATTCCTAGTTTGAATTAACTCAAGTGACCTCAAGGTTCAGCATACTCCTCATGGTGCTATGTGCTGGACAGCAGAGCCCAGGAGCCTGGGGGTAAATGGGGAGGGTGGGCAGGTGTGTAAAACAGAACCCCACAGGCCCACAGTGGCATCTTTGTGGAGCTCTGCTGCTCTCCTTCCATCCTGCCACCTGCCTGCAAGAATGCAGCACCCCACTCCAGACACACATACCACACGCCAGCATCAGCATGTTGGCAAGGGCCTCACAACTTATCTTGCTGGCTGTTGACGGGGCCCCAGAACTCAGGGAGCACTCTGCACTCCAATTTACACCTGCAAAGGGCAGCATTTTCACTGTCAAATACTGCCTCACAACAGTCAGTTTCTGACATTTAACAATCTTTTTTTTTTTTTTTACTTTAATCCCTAAGTGTTGGGATTACAGGCATGAGCCACCACACCCAGCCAACATTTCACAATCTTTTGATTTAATTTTTTTTTTTTGAATATCTGAAGAGATTTATTCTGAGCCAATTATTGTGGGTAACCCCCCATACAGGCACCGAGGAAGGAGAGCTAAGGAGAACGCTGGCACAATTAAGACCTGAAGAATATATCAGTTTATAGTGTTACCACTCAGTTATTTCCTTTTATATAATCCTTTTTTTTTTTTTTGCATTTTAGGTTTTGGGGTACATGTGAAGAATATGCAAGATTGTTGCATAGGTACACACATGGCAGTATAATGTGCTGCCTTCCTCCCCATCACCTACATCTGGCATTTCTCCCCATGCTATCTCTCCCCAACTCCCCACCCCGATTTAAATTTTTATAGCCAGTCTATCAAGATTTGACTCACGCTGAGTGATGGGCTCTGGGAGTCTGCCTGACCACCGGTCTAATGGCAGCACCCATGACCGTAATGGCTACACTCTGGTCATGAACATTTTATTAAACCCAAATGCCTGCTTCAATTCTTTTTCCACTGTGATTTACAGGTTCCTTGCAGTGCCCAAGGGCTCTAGAGGTCATTCCCTCTACTCTGCTGCAGAAGGAGCACTCCGAGTGGTGAATCTGAGAACATCTAAGAAAACAGTCTAGGAACATACACTCCACTTGTGGTTCTCCTAAGAGAATCGGCACTTGGAATCCTTTGCCACCCCCTACCCCAGGCTGTGAATCCTGACTGCTAGATTACACCTGCCAGTTCACCACTGACTTTGCCACATGGCTCAGCACAGCTCCCAAGCCAAACCATCCTGGCTTCCATCTACTTATAGCTGCACCACTCTGCTTCTCACAGCAACAACTCAAATTCCCTAATGACTAATCTGTTTTTAAAAAATAAGAGATGGGGTTTTGCCACGTTGCCTAGGCTGGTCTTGAACTCCTGAGCGCAAGCGATCCTCTCACCTTGGCCTCCCAACGTGTTGGGATTACAGGCGTAAGCCAACACACCCAGACTAATCTGCTCTGAGTAACATTTTAGCAAGCCAGATTTCGGAAACTTTTCTTTTTTAAATTAAAATCCCATGCACACGCAAGTTACAAGCTTGAATGTACTCTGGAAATACAGACCTTTGTTGCTTTATTACTAATGATGACAACTTTCCTACACCCTTTACCACCTTCTAGAACAAGGCACACATGAAGAGGGCAACAGACATCATGCCCCGCCGCTCCCTATGCACCAGAAGGGCCTGATCATCAGAGACAGCCGCCTTTCAAGCCTGACAGTGATGTCTGTCCTTGTACCATTTTCACATCCTCTGTTACGAGAAACCCACAAAGAAAGGTTTACACCCAAATCTCTAATGACTTCCCATTCCAAGAAAGTTTCTGTGTATAAAAGCAGCTGCTTTCTTGCAGTGAAGGGGAAGGTCAAAGAGTAACCAGCACATAGAGGATTTAAAAAATGAAGGCCCCGCTGGTGCCCTGGGGCTACTGCTGTGCTGGAGGCACTTGTAAAAGGCAAGATCCCCACATGATGAAGAGCCAGATCTGGAGCCAGACGGCCTGGGTTCATATCCAGGCACCACGGTTTACCAGTCAAGTGGCCTTAGACAACCTATGACTCAGCATCCAACGAAATTGGGATAACAGTACCTACATATCACGTGGCTCTCACAAGGACTAAATGAAATATATTGTTATATTTCTGTTAAAATGCTGGGGAGCTGGGTCACGCCTGTAATCCCAGTACTTTGGGAGGCTGAGGTGTGCCTATCACCTGAGGTCAGGAGTTCAAGGCCAGCCTGGCCAACATGGTGAAACTTCGTCTCTACTAAAAATACAAAAATTAGCCAGGCATGATGGCATACACTTGTAATCCCAGCTATGCAGAATTGCTTGAACAGAGGTTGCAGTGAGCCAAGATCGCACCACTGTACTCTAGGCTGAGCAACAGAGTGAAAGCCAATCTCAAAAAAAAAAAAAAAAAAAAAAAAAGCTGGGCATGGTGGTACACGCCTGTAGTCTCAGCTACTCAGGAGGATGAGAGAGAATTGCTTGAATCCAGGTGTTTGATGCTACAGTGAATTATGATGGTGCCACTGCACTCCAGCCTAAAAAAAAAAAAAAAAAAAAAAAAAAAAGTTGGTGGGGAGGGGCAGTGGAGGTTTTGAATTATAGTAAACCAGAATTTGCATTATGAAACTGCTACATTAAAGGAGGCTGTGGTTTTTATTAATGCTTCTGTGGACAATGCTGCTGGGGCAGACGATAAAGAGCTACCTATTCCAGCACTCCTAGAGAGAGACAAACTTGATCAAGCTTTAAAGAATCCCTCATACTCGGAGCCCATAACCATGAATGTGTACATGCTTTTTAACACTGTACTGGAAAATTATTGCAGAGCTTGGGAACACAGGACATCTCAAAAGACTAGTGACCAAGTGAATTAAAAGTCTACTGTTATGCCTAGTTTTTTAAATATTTAGGGCAATTCAAAAGACATTTGATTCAGTAGAAAAGTGGAAGTGATAAATCACTTATTCAGTGGGTCTGCAGCCTAAAAGTCACCTGAGAGCCAAGAGAAGGCAAAGAGTGGGTGAAAGCAGGAAGAAAACACGATTCTTACCGTTTATCCTGCCCATGTTCATCCCAGATCCAAATCGACCCATGTTTTCCATACCACCACCAAAGGGCCCCTCCATTCCTGCAACAGAGGTTCACATTTCACCATCATCCAACAAGACTGCTTAGACTGAGCAGGGAAAGAAAAATTCTGTCACATGTTTCAACTGGGGTATCCTCTGCCAAGAACTCACCAAGTTTAAGGGCTTTTGAAAAACAAAAAAATGCTACTGCCCTTCTTTAAAAATCACCATCTTCAAAAAGCTGGTCTGATCCAACCCCCTCAATGAATAGACAAGCAAAAAGAGGCACAGAGATGGAGTGGTTTGCCCAAGGTCACAGAGCTAGTTAGTGAGACAGCCAGAACCAAAAGCCAAGACACCTGCTAAAGGGATGGACAGGCAGGAGGAAGTCATCTCTAGACTCAAACTGAAACTGATGGTAATTTCATGCAGGGCTTAAACAAGAAAGAAAAGAGGAAAGAGAGAAAACTATGCCTAAAAGTGATTATGTTTGTACTTCATTTTAAATTTCTTACCTCCCATTTTATTTATTCCAAATCCTATGCCTTCCATTCCCATTCCTTAAAAAGAAAAAGTCAATGCAAACTAAAATTATGTCAAAGCAGTAAATAACATTTGAATTTAAAAAGCATAATTCCAAACCAGCAAATGAACCCAAAAGAAAATCTCTGATGACAAGTATATTGGTTATCAATAAAAAGAGGCCCTACCATTTCAATTGTCAAATATATCGCTTAAAATTCTGATGGATCGTCTGGGTGTGGTGGCTCACGCCTGTAATCCCAGCACTTTGGAGGCCGAGGAGGGTGGATCACGAGGAGTTCAAGACTAGTCTTGTCTGGCCAACACAGTGAAACCCCATCTCTACTAAAAATACAAAACATTAGCCAGTATGATGGTGTGTGCCTGATATCCCAGTTATTCGGGAGGCTGAAGCAGGACAATCGCGTGAACCCAGGAGGCGGAGGTTGCAGTGAGCCGAGATCACACCACTGCACTCCAGCCCTGGCGACAGTGGGAGACTTTGTCTCAAAAAAACAAAAAACAAAAAACAACAAAAAAACACTGTCCAACTGGGTNTTTTTTTGAGACAGGGTCTCCTTCTGCCACCTAGGCTGGAACACAGTGGCATGGTCACTGCTTACTGAAGCCTCAGCCTCCGAGGCTCAAGTGATCCTCTTGCCTCAGCCTCCCAAGTAGCTGGGACTATAGGTGTACGCTGCCACACCTGGCTAATTTTTAAAAAATATTTTGTAGAGACAGGGTCTCACTATGCTGCCTAGACTAATCTCAAACTCTTGGCATCCAAAAGTGCTGAGATTACAGGCATGAGCCACCACAACACGCCTCAAGTCAGGCAGTATTAAACATGAAATAGAATTATAAAACACATTTTATGGAACATTAACTTTTTAGAAAAATATTTTAGGGAACAGAAGTAGATAAAAAGTCCCTGTTAAAGGTAAAATCTTCAAAATAAAAACAGTTCCTAAAAACACCAAGACTTCCCCAACCCCCTGTCTTTCTGTTTGGGTGTCAGACATGGGGACATGGTGGGGGGCGTGTGTATGAGGTGGGGGGGGATTGGTAGGGCCATTCTCAGTTGCGGCCCAGGACTTTGAAGTCAGCACCAGGGGTGGTGGCTCTGGAAAAGAGACTAGGGATATGCAATCCACACTGTAATTTCCAAGGAGTCCAAGAAAGACCAAAGTCTGAGGCCATAAAAATGAAACATTCCTTAATAAAAATACATCACTACACAGAAATGAAAACGCTCAACAGCAAAGCCTAAGTTTATTCTACATGTCAAAGCTTTCATGCAGTAGCTACTCCTTGTCCTTTTACTATTATTTTTAGACAGAGTCTTGCTCTTGTTGCCCAGGCTGGAGCAGTGGTGCAATCTCAGCTCACTGCAGCCTCCGCCTCCCGGGTTCAGGTGATTCTCCTGCCTCCACCTCCTGGGTAGCTGGGATTATGGGCCCACACCACCATGCCCAGCTAATTTTTGTATTTTTAGTAGAGACGGGTTTTCGCCATGTTGGCCAGGCTGGTCTCAAACTCCTGACCTCAGGTGATCCACCCAACTCAGCCTGCCAGAGTCCCATCTTTGTCTTCTTAAAGACAACAATGTCCACCATGTTTCTTGTGTCGGCCATGTTGTCATGCAGTAAGGCCCTCTCCGCCTTTCTTTGATCTATCAATGCCCCTAGCTCTCCAGCAGCAGCTGTGCCCACACCAGGAGGGCCCAAGGGGGTCCGGGTAAGAAACTTTTTAGGGCACTGCAGCAGTGCCACGGTTCCATGCTCAGGAGACCTGCAGCCTGTCACTAACTGACAGTGTGACCTTGAGCAAGAGCAACTCTCTGGCTTGCCTCCTCTTATCAAATGGCATGACTATCTCAGCTCAGAAGGTTGTGAGGTTACAATGAAAAAGCATAATGACTTTTTAAAAAAGGATTCAACTCAATAAAAATACAAAATATTGCCTTTATTCAAAATGAAGCAGAGATGAATGAGGAGGGATTTTTGGCCCAGTTAAATCTGTATTTCATTTAAACTGCTCGAAGTCCAACTGCCCCAATAATTAACTTTAATAATTTTCACTTCCCCAAACCCCCAAGCAAGGTGCACTGTCAATCTTACCGGCGGGACCTATGTTTCCCATTCCAATGCCTTTATTCAGGTGATTGGCATCAATGGGTTGCCCTCCTGGTCCTAACCCCATGCCAATACCACCAAGGCCATCTGGAAGGAAAAGAGAAAGTGGCTTAGTTTTCCCCTACTTAGCAAACCTTGACCCTCAAAGGAAAGGAGTCTTTGTTTATTGAGTTGCAGCTATCCACTCCAGCCTACCGCCCCCACCCACCAGCATCCCCAGGACCTAATGCAATATTTAACATCAGCACACTTAGAAACAAAACCTTGTTCTGGCGTTTGGGATGTGTGTGTATACCACAAAGGCAGCTAAAAACCAATGCACCTGAAAGTCAACAACCCCCATACTAAGATTCTTGAGCTCCTATTTGTTTCACTAACCCACAGACTGAGAACCGTCTGATCAGAAACAGTGACTCAAGACATCAGATGGCAAGCAGCACAAGTGTGCCCAATCCCTAGTAGCCCAAAAAACGTTTCTCATAAAAAAGCAGTTTACAAACCATCCAATCAACATCCTGGGTATACACTACTCTCTGAATCTGGGTGGCTTTAGTAACAATGACACTAATGTATTCAAGGAACCTATCTTCCTGTCCCCAAGCTTCCTAACCCACAATTGGGGACCAGCCCACACTCAGTTCCATGCCCCACAAGTATAAACAGGAACACAGAAATACAGGCTGGTCTCTGGAAACAGCCAAAAGAGCTAATTACACCTGCAATATCTGGGGTAACCACCACCTAAGGCTTAAACCATAACCAGGTAAAGTTTTAAAAATGAATGCTGGCCAGATGTGGTGGCTGACACCTGTAATCCCAGCACTTCGGGAGACCAAGGGATGGATCACCTGAGGTCAGGAATTCAACACCAGACTGGCCAACATGGCAAAGCCCCATCTCTACTAGAATTACAAAGATTAGCCTGGCATGGTGGCACACACCTGTAATCCCAGCTACTCAGGGGGCTGACAAGAGAATTGGTAGAACCCAGGAGAGGGAGGTTGCAGTGAACCAAGATTGCACCACTAAACTGCAGCCTGGGTCATAGAGTGAGACTCCATTTCAAAAAAAAAAAAGGCTGGTTGCAGTCACCCGTAATCCCAGCACTTCAGGAGGCTGAGGCAGGTGATCACCTGAGGTCAGGCGTTCAAGACCAGCCTGGCCAACATGGAGAAATCCCATCTCTACTAAAAATAGAAAATTAGCCTGGCATGGTGGTGATGCTTATAATCCTCAGCTACTCAGGAGGCTGAGACAGGAGAATTTCTTGACCCCGGGAGGTGGAGGTTGCGGTGAGCCAAGATCGCGCCATTGCACTCCAGCCCAGGCAACGAGTGAAACTCGTTTCAAACAAAACAAAACAAAACAAAACAAAATTCATTTAAAAAGTAAATAAAACCATCAGTCAGTTGAAAGGCCACACACAAAAAAAGTAAATAAATCCTGCTGCCAGTTGCCAGGCATTTAATCTGATTAACGTTCCATCTTTAATTGCATAGCAACAGCAGCAAGAGATCACCAAGGTTACTTACTCCCCAAAGCACTGAAGGCTTTGAAGTCAACCCCCTGAAATGTGCTGGGAGACCAAGAGCCATGGATAACGGGCTCCCTGGGGTGTGTGCTCCTCCTCCTGCTCCAGCACAAGAGCCATCAAGAGCCATCGCCATGGTCCAGGGAGACCACTGCTCAGGTGAACACCCTGAGTATGTATTTGGGAAATGAGTATGTTATGTCCAGGACATGCAATCCTTCTCTAAGTAACGATGCCTTTCAACAGATGAGCCTTCTCATGAAGCCGCAGATTTGTTCTCAAGATACATCTGTCACGCTGCCTTAATGCTACGCTGCAAAGGTGCTCTGGCTGGGCTCCCATCCAACTCAGTAAGTGAGCGGGGTCCTCAACTTGAGCAGCTGCTCCAGACCAGGCCCCCTCAAACCGCCTGGTGGAGGGCCCCCAGCACAGCACACACAGGCCTGTCACCCTCACCCATCTTCCTTCTCCAGGCTGGCCCTACCTGTGCCAGTGATTCCCTGAACCCTCCCACCGCTGTCTGCACTCAGGTTCTGGCTTCCCGCCTCAGGCTTATCTAGGACTTTGCACTAATACGTGCCTCTGCCTCCTATGTGGTGGCCAATCAACTAGCCTTCCCTGTCCCAAGACAGATTTTCACCTGGAGTCACGCATAGCTGATCCCTTCCCCTTCTGCAGAGAAGTTATTTGTTCAAGACACTTGACATACTATAAAACTCACCTAAAGTATTCAGTAGTTTTTAGTATATTCAGAGATATGCAACCACCACTACCACTTAATTCCAGAACACTTTCATCATCCAAAAGAGAAATCTAACCTTATTAGCAATCACTTCCCCACTTACTCCTTCCCAGCCACGGGCCACCACTAATCTACTTACTGCCTTTATGAATTTATATATGCTGAGCATTTCCTATAGATGAAATCAAGGTTCATCCACACTGCGACACGTGTATTTCAACCAGCTGTAAACATCTATGGATGAATTTCTGTATGGATGTCTAGTGTGTACTGCTGGCCCACATGAGACTAATCAATGTCTTCTGAATTCGAGGGCAGTCTGGTTTTCATTCCCTTAGGAGGTTCTGATTCTTCCTTCCCCAGGACACTTTCAAAATGCCTAACTACATCCTCTACATCCTGGGGCTCACCACAAGGTAATCCTAACAATATCCTCGAGTTGTGAATCTCTGCTCATTTCTCACCCTGAAAAATCTATAGAAAAGAACTGGCCAAAAGAACTGAGGGCTAACCTGGCAGAGGTTCAAGTGAAACTCTGTGATCATTTTCTTTTTATTAGTATAACTGAAATTCAAACTCTCAGCCATAATCAATGAAACACTTACGGGGAAGTTGTTGTGGACGCTCAGGAGGGAAGAAATCTCCCTTTGGTAAGGCCCTCTCATCCTGAAAGAGAATGAAAATGAATAAATCTTAGTATCCAGTGCAGCAGTGTTTGCAACAGCAAAAGACTGGAATGACCCCCCCATCAACAGAGGAACAGCTGAACACACTATCCCTGCCATGGAATCATATGCAAGGATGGAAAGGCATGTGGAGTGTACTTGCTATTTTATGTCAAGGGGAAGGATCAAAGACACATAGATATTATTGTGGGAGATGATGGGAACCTGGACAAGAAGTCCAAGTAGGATTCTCACTATCTTTTCATGCTTTTTGGCTTTTGAATCATGTGAATCTATTATCTATTCAAAAAACTTAACTATTCTATTTAGAGTAATGAAAAAATTGCTGTAATAGCTTCTTTTATCATTTTCGTGAACTTGAGTCCCAACTAGATTGCCATCAGCATGTTCCGGTCAGGTCTGTAGTAACTATCATCTTTGGCACAGCCACAGCAGAGCAAATGTTTATTAAGACTGAAATGCTCCAAATGACCTTTAACAGCTGTCTGAATCAATGCTTAATTATGTTCACAACAGATTTGATGCTAAACAAACATTATATTGTAATACTTTAAAAACTGGAACCCCATATAATAGCCATTCTTTGAAACGGATCACTTGCTCAACCAGGATACCCAGGTGACTTCCTGAGCGAGCCATGAACAGTCAACTGTGCAAAGGGAAAAATATCTAATGCAGTTCAAGAGCTGCTTGAGCAAAATGTTATTTCTCTCACAAATTTGTTCAACATACTGCATCCTATTTAGAATAATCCATAAATATTTTACAGTGGTATGTGTACACTCTTATTAATTCCATGTTTTTGCTAGACTTGAGTGTATCACAGAGAAAGATCCTACTGACTTACCATCTTGACATGCATTGGTCTATCAAATAGCAGCTGGCCATTAAACATAGCTGGTATTACAATTAAGGCTATTTATTGCAATTCTAAAAATGTGCACAAAAGAAATACAAAGAAAAAAGAAAGAGAAAATACTCCCTAACTGCTACCAGTCCCTCTAAGTGATGAATTTATGAGCAGTTTCAATTCTTCATTGTGCTTTCAACAATAAACATAAAAGGAACAATAAATAAAGCTTCAGGGGGGAGGACAAGACAGCTTCCGCTTATTCCTTAGGTGTGAAGCTTCATTCATAACCTTAAACTTTTCACCAAACCATCCTCTTAAGCATCAAGGTTCTCTGAATGTGGCCAATGGGCCAGGTGTCTACCACCAACTAAACTGAAGCACCATGTTATCTGGGTAAGACATGTCTTGCCTGAGTTGCATGAATGTGCTCATGTGGGGTACTCTCCATGGGATTAAAAACTCTTGGGTAAGCCTAGGGAAAGGACAAGTGGCCTACTCCAAAATGATGTTTACTCACTGGACAGAGTAAGGTCCTGTAAGGATCAATTATATAGGAAACAACAGCCCAGTTTCTCTCTAGTGGTGCATTCTTTGGGCTCCCTCCTTCAAACCTAGACTTTTCTGAAAAGAAAACCATCCACACTGTACTGAATCAACTCCACCCCCAGAGAACTTTTTTTTTTTTTCTTTTTTTGAGACTGAGTCTTGCTCTGTCGCCCAGGCTGGAGTGTAGTGGCATGATCTCGGCTCACTGCAACCACTGCCTCCTGGGTTCAAGCAATCTCGTGCCTCAGCCTTCAGAGTAACTGGAATTACAGGTGCCGACCACCGCGTCTGGCTCATTTTTGTATTTTTAGTAGAGGCAGGGTTTCACCATGTTGGCCAGGCTGATCTTGAACTCCTGACCTCAAGTGATCCGCCCATCTCAGCCTCCTAAAGTGCTGGGATAATAGGTGTAAGCCACTGTAGCCAGTCTAGCCCAGAGAACCTTTTAATTCCACAGTAATGCTTTCCCTCTAGTCATATAAAAAGCATTAATACACACAGTCACATCTTCCTCACACAAACCTACATTACTAAAACAGCAATTTAGGTCAAATTGTTCACAAGCTTAATTCCTGCAAAAGGATACATATAGCTTGCACGGCTTCAATGGACTGTTCAAAAGTAACAGTGCCTATTCCACGACTTTTTCCATCCTTATCCTCAAGAATGTCTGCTCGGACCACCACACCAGCCATACTAAATACTTCCTTTAGTTTCTTCCAGCCAACTTTATAATCCAGCTAATCAAGAGAGAACGGGGTAAAAACTTCAATGTAAGTATCTTAAGAAACACAACATTTTAACTACGTGAATGAGACATGCTATGGTTGGGAAAAAAGTATTAGAAAATAATGTCACAAAAACTAAGCAACTGCAATGGAATTTTAAAAATAGGATTATAAAGTCTGACATTCACTATAAACAAACTGTACTTATAGTAAATATACTGTCTCTTTTCTCAGAAGCTTAAGTTACCTCATACTTTAAATTAATACTCATTTTCTGAACTTTTTTTTTTGAGATGGGAGTCATGCTCTGTTACCCAGGCTGTTCAGTGGCGTGATCTCAGCTCACTGTAACCTTCGCCTCCCAGGTTCAAGTTGTTCTCCTGCCTCACCCTTCTTAGTAGCTGGGATTACAGGAGCCCGTCACCACGCCTAGCTAATTTTTGTGTTTTTAGTAGAGACAGGGTTTCACCATGTTGATCAGGCTGGTCTTGAACTCCTGACCTTAAGATCTGCCCACCTCAGCCTCTCAAAGTGCTGGGATTACAGGTGTGAGCCACCGTGCCCAGCCCATTTTCTAAACATTTAAAAAAATTGTTTCCCTGATAAGCTTTACCATACCCTACCCCACCCAACCTACTTTCTTCTAAAAATATTTCCCCTTGCAGATGGCAGAGGTATTATCATTCACCCCGGACATAAAAGGAAGGTGTCAGTGCACTGTCTCTGCTCATACACTCTTATTCTGCACCAAAACCGCACAAAATAAACCAAAAGAGAATGCAGACTCAAGTTACTGCTTATGGGAACACCTGCAAAACTCAGGAATCACAGCTCCAATGAGACCATGGTCAAGCTTGTGACTTAGGAATGCAGACAAAGTCCACCCCTAAGGCTGATTTAAAGAAATGAAGAACACAACCCTTATTTACATTTTTCTTCTCAAATGTCAGAATTACTTTTGTAACATATTGACAAGGTCATTTCATCAAGTTCTGATTTTCCACTTTAGACGATGGCTCTGTTTACTTACGTTTGCTACAAATACTGTGCTTCCAAGTCTTCCAGCCTGCAATGCATGGATAATCTCATTTGGGATGTTGGGATTATTTAGGATACTGGGTGGGATAGTAATCATTCCTGGGCCACCTGGTCCCATACCCATCCCACCAGTCGTAGCCATCACCTTTTGCATTGCTCTCCTGGCATGTTCACCATCAGGATCCTAAAATAAGCACAAAACGTGTTACGTTTGACCCAGAAACAACAAAAACCATACTTGCACAGTAAATGATATTCTCAAGACTTAGAAACTGAAAGGTTGTTTGAAAAGCATCTCTCAAATCTATTAACAAGAAAGTCCAATGAACTCAACAACCAGCCTAGAAGAGACCGGCTAAAGGAATAGGAAAGGAAGAAAGGACATGAAATGTGGCACTAAAAACACAGCTCTTAACTAAATTAAGTAAAAAAGAAAACGGGGGCAGGGAGAGAAACAGGATTAGCTGATATAACGTAGAACTGCCAGACTGAAATTAGAGCTTCATGGGCTTGGTATAGCTGAATCTACTACTAATTCATTGGGGAGGTTTTTTGATTTCTGCAAACCCCATCAATAACTTTTCCAAAAGTTTGAAAAAAAAACAAAACAAAACAAAACAAAAAAACAGTTTTAGATAACACAAGTACCCCCCCATCCTTCAAGTCCTTCAGGTGTTTGAAGTCATGTATGTAAGGTCTGGACAATATAACAACATCTGGACAGGTCTGTGAAGCTCTGGTATTGACTCTCTTCTCGAACTCTCTGTCCTGTCATTTACCACCAACAGCACTAAAAAAAGACATCATGAACACATGAGAGATCTTAGACCCTACCACGCTTCGCTCTGAATCTACTCATCTTCCTCCCCAAGAGGTAAAAAGAAGTCAAGAGGGTTTTCTTTTTTTTTGAGATGGAGTTTCACTCTTGTTGCCCAGGGTGGAGTGCAATGGCGCATTCTCAGCTCACTGTAACCTCTGCCTCCCAGGTTCAAGCGATTCTCCTGCCTCAGCCTCCTGAGTAGCTAGGATTACAGGAACTGGCCACCATGACCAGCTAATTTTTTGTATTAGTAGAGATGGGATTTTACTAGGTTGGTCAGGCTGAGCTCCAGTGATCCACCTGCGTTGGCCTCCCAAAGTGCTGGGATTACAGGCATGAGCCACTGCGCCCAGTCAACAAAAAACCTGTCTTCCTCGAGGAAGATATCTGATTCAAATCAAATGTGAAAGCAGGTTTGAGGAGTAACAAACTCACTTTATTTTTTTTAGACAGGGTCTCACTCTGTCACCTAGGCTGGAGTGCAAGGGCGCAACCTCAGCTCATTGCAACCCCAAAATCCCGGGCTCAAACAATCCTCCTGCCTCAGCCTCCCAAGTAGGTAGGACTACAGGCATGTACCACCAATGCTTTGCTAATTTTTATATCTTTTGTAGAGATGGAGTTTCCCTATGTTATCCATGCTGGAAAAAACTCACTTTAAAAAAAAAAGAAAAAAGATGGGCCAAGAAGAGGGTTCGGACAGAGTAAAACTTAATGGCACAAACCCACAGGCTCACGGATTGAGAGTCCCTGAGACAACAATGCCGCAGACAAATCACAGATGTTAGAAGGCGGTCACCACCCCAACATCCTTGCAGGGAGTGGCTGCTGTAGGCTGTGACTGACACTCTTCATTAAAAACAACAGGCTGGCACTTGCTTTGCAAAACGCCATCTAGGACCATGACAGTCTTTCCCTAATTCCAAAGAGGGATCACTCAACAATTACACACAGGATCCGCAGTGTTAAGCCAGAGCTTACTTCTTTGACTTTCAGTGGTCTTCCACTTAGACTATGCTTGTTTAGGACTTCTGCAGCTTTTTTCATGCTCTCTTCCATCTTGAATTCAACAACACTATAAAAAGTCAAAAGAAAACAAATAGAGTGAATCCAGTCCTACAAGTTAGAAAGTTCAAATACCATTAAGTAATTAGATGATACTTACGCACATCCCTTTGGAGAAAGCCAGAGACCAGTCAGAAGAGCAAGGAAGGGGAAAAAGAAAAGAAAACAATAGTAAATACCAGTGACAGTTATAAACAGACTAAAAATATGATTAATGTCACAAAGTTAGTCTTTCAAAATGAACCCTTTTAAGGGGAAGCTGACAGAAGTGCCTCGCCTTGCCTTCCTTGTAAAAAGCTGGGCTCCTTAATATTTCCCTCTCCTACGCGTTACCAGCATTGCACTAGAGCTGCTGACGTTGTAATAAGCAGACCTAAATTCAGGGTCTCCAAGAAATCACACCAACTTTAGATCTGCTTCCCTCTAGTACTCAATCGAGTCCTTATCATATTCCTCCTAAATCCATCCCTTTCATAAGTTAAGCTCATCCTTTTGATTATTCTAAGCCATTCTAATGCACGACAGAAAATAGTTTATGTTCTCTTTAAACTAGGCCAATTTTGAACATTCAGGTTTTTAATATTTGGTTTACAATTTACTGGCACAAAGGCAACTTTTCGGAATCTTTGGTTCACACAACTTTCAAATTCAGCAAACAACCAAGAGTAAAATTTTCTAGACAAGAACACACTTTTTACATTAATTATACCACCGCTAAAATTCCATGCATAATTCACACACAGCCAATTCCTCTGTTAACAAAGAGACAATGCTGCTATTGGTCCCCAGTTATCCAAATTGGGCATCCAAACAGAATACCAAAAAGCTCTTTGGCCAGCCATTTGGAAAAGCGGGACTCCCGTTTGCAAATCCCCTCCCACCCCACTCGAATGTTTGGCAAAATCAAACATAGCTACTGTAACATGAGCACTCACTGCCTTCCTGATTTCATTCGATTCCACGCCACCATACAGTTACATTTTTCATGTAGTAAATCCACAGAAGAAATTCTCTCAGACACTTACCCTTGACTTTCCTTCAGCGTCCATTAAGAGCTCCACGTATGTTACCTCACCAACTACAAATCAGTTTCCAGACGACACATAAACCAAGGGAGAAAAGCCAAGAAAACAATGGGAATTTAGAACAATCATCAGCAACCTTGTATGGAGCCTCTGCCTTATAAGAAAGCCCAGAAACACTCCATATTCTCTAAACCACCGAACTAGGCATTACAGGTGTGCAGTAAAAGTAGGTGAAAACACGTTAACAATATGTCCTTGATTTTCCTCCCACCACAAACAAGCTATTCCACAGATTTCCATATCAATTTCCCTGTCTGGAAAACTCATTCATGACTAGAGGCAATCCAAATCTATAGGAAAGAAGTCTGCGTGATTTACTTTTTTGGGGAGGGGAGGAAAACAGTTTTATACATACAATCTCATTGGTGGCAAGTAGGTGAAATGCATACAAATTACGATGCCATCGTGCTGAGCTCACATGGTATAAATACAAGGACACATGTATGCAAAGGTATAAGCTCACAGGCACACATGGCCGGGGGGCCAGCTTCACAGGTGAGCAACCCGTGCAGTCGTCCAGAGCCCCGCACTCGGGGGCCTCAGCTTGGTTTAATGCTGTTAATGCTGCCATGACATTCTTAATCTTTTAACAAGAGGCCCCTTGTTTTGGTTTTGTGTTGGGCCCCACAAATTCTATAGCTGGTCCTGCACACAGCACTAGGCTCCACAGCTGTAGAGGCAGAATGTTCGAATATAGTAAGATCACAAAACCACAGCAGCATCTGGATTCTCTTCAGTGAATTAAGCCAGGCTTCATTCTTGCTGCTTTCTAAACCTCCCCATTAAAGGACACAAATAAATTCAAATTTAGGACTCAGATTTTATATCTAAAGAGTTAAACAGACTCACATGATTCTAATCTACACAAAAGGGAAAAAAAACCAAAGCATTTGAAAAGTTTCTGCAGCTTTTCCTCAAGGTTTGGATTGCCAATTCATGACCACCATGACCAGATGTTAGACTCCATAAAGACAACCACCAAAATGGCTGCTGAACTTGAAGATGGCACACACAAAACAAATGTCAAGTGTTAACCTGGAGAAAACAATCTCTAACCAGACTCTCCAAAGTCAAATCATGGGCTTCTGTTGTTCTCTGGATCAGTTTGGTTTAGCAGAAAAAGGATAAAAATAACCCACCTAATGACCTTGACAAGTCCTGCCTATTCCAACTCTTTTGTTCAAAGGACATTAAAATTATGAGGCTATAGGAAGGAAAATTTTTAATAAAAAACAAGATAAAATTATTTTACAAAAAATTTAAAAACCTGAAGGACGTATTAATGGCTCTACACACTCAGTGAGGCAAGAAAGCCAAGTGTTTACATCTAGAGCCTCACCTTCTTTGTCCTCTCCTGAAATGTTTCAGAACCAAACTAGCACTTTGTACAAAACAGGAAGGACAAAGAATAATTAGTGCAAAGAAATGAAGAATGAAAATAGGAGGGATCGGTTTAACTTAACTTTTGGAGTATGTACTCCTGTGGGGTAAACTGAAAAATGACTGCAGCCAAGGGACAGTTGTACGGAGTGACTTTACTTAACCTTTAAAAAGCAAAGCAGTTCAAAAAATGCAGCAGCCCTGAGACCACGTTAAAAGCCATTTGTTTCAAGAGCAGCAGCCATTCAAGGACCACCAACCCTTGTCTCCACTTTGATGAAAATGCCACAGTGTCAAAACAGTGAATGAATAAGGCCCCAAGTTTACTTCCTACCAGCTATGACTACCACCTAATAACCTTTAAAAAAATAAAAGACTCACAATAACTAATTCAAGATAGCTGCAACCATGTTGTCCAAATTCAAATCCTGTTACATTTGAAGTTTCTGGTCTGTGTCCATAAAGACACTTGATCAAAAAGCTGTCATTGCAACCTAGAAACCAAGCAAGTCCAAACCAAACTTTTTTCCATGGCTATAACCACTTTAACAAAAAGAGAGGTTTAGAAATTAGGACTTTTTCCATGTAACAGTATAGTCTAGTAATGGCACACCTAACTTCAATCCTTTGTACTAAAAATTTGCTTAAAACCTTCTCCATCTTTTTCCCCTAAATGGTATCATTGTTTAGCAGTCACCTGAGGGTCCAGGATGAGTAATGCTGTCCCCGAGATCATCAGTAATGACCACGCTCCTCACAAACTCATAAAATTCCAACCTCTACCCTGACAGACCATCAATTCAGTGTTAAGGGATCTGTATAACAGCTGCTAATTCATAGTTTCCTATAGGAAGATGAAGCCTTTAAAAGACCACCTCCCTTTTGGTTCTACAATAAACAAAGCAAAGATTTGTTTCATATAGTCAGCACAACTATTGACAAGAATGTGAGGGCAAATTTTGACAAGTAACCACAGTCTGGTCACATTCCACAAAGTTTAATGAACAAACCATCCAAAGCAGATCACACAGTCAGGACTCAGGGGCAGAGGTGACAGCTTGGCAGTAGCAGCGGTCTTACAGAAACGGCACTCGCAGATATTAATAAAAAATACAGTTGCTCCTCTCCCTGGGTAAACATGGATGTAATTCACGGAATCCCAAGAGTAGGTTGCTAAGACAAATTCTATTGCGCTTAAAAATCGAAACATCGAAATGAAAAAACTAAGACATTAAAAAATCTAACACCAAATGTTATCTTACTTCTATTTAAAATGCTCTAAGACACCATTTTTGACCAACATTTAAGTGAATTATTAAAAAGATTGCCTTATTCTTAAAACACATCAGAAGGATAAGATGCGCAAACCAAAAATAACTCAGGTGGTCCCTTGGAGCTACTGTGATCTCACTCTCCCTGCACAAACATTTATCAAAATAAGTATTTGTTTTTGTGTTCCCATTTACTGCCTAAGTCTGAAATGGGAGGAAAAAAAAAAAAAATAGAGGGAATACAGAGGCTAAAGCTTCACTGAAGAGAATTCATATGTGATAAAGCCTAGAATTTTTTTTCACAGGGGTGGGGTGGCTTGAAAGTCAGGCATGTTGTCAAACATTCTTCACCTCATAATGATCTATTATCAGGTAGCCACTCTATTGGGGTAGGGGGGTACACAGAACACATGCATACTCTTTAATATAAAGACATCTTGAAACATGGCAAAATATTTATTCTACACAACTACTTGGCTTATGGACAAGTTAGGAAATGACTGAGCCCACATTCCTCCTTAATTGCATGGCAATAGCAGAACGGTATTGCTTCCCTAACACCAAAGAACACATAGTAAACCAGACAGGCTGCAATGCTGGGGCTCAACTATTCACAAACATGAACACTTTAGCATAACAGGCCTTTCTAAAGTGCAGGTCGTGGCCAGGCGTGGTAGCTCACGCCTGTAATCCTAGCACTTTGGGATGCCAAGGAGGGTGGATCACCTGAGGTCAGGAGTTCCAGACCAGCCTGGCTAACATGGAGAAACTCCGTCTCTATTAAACATACAAAAACTAGCTGGGTGTGGTGGTGGGCACCTATAATCCCAGCTATTTGGGAAGCTGAGGCAGGAGAATTGCTTGAACCCTGGAGGCGGAGGTTGCAGTGAGTCAAGATCACGCCACTTCATTCAAGCCTGGGTAAAAGATTGAGACTCCATCTCAAAAAAATAAAATAAAATGAAATACAGGCTGCATTTCCAACCAAGGAAAATATGGAGGAACATGAACAGACTGGGCAGGAATTTTATTTAAATTGAAAATACATTTCTGCCTAATACAATACATTTCTGCCACAACGCCGGGAACCAAGATGGGAGGCTTTCTATTGGACTACACTTGCCCTCTGGGCCTTAGTTTTCTGTCAGCTGCAATTTGAAATTTACTTAAAGTGGAGCATGAAATACTAACAGAAGGATTAACTGCTTAAAGAAATCTTTGCTTACACAAGTTAAACGGACTGCTGCTAAACTTGGGATTGACTGAGGGCAAACTACATCCCCAACCTTCCTTTCTTTCTCAACCCAGGCTCTGTTTACTCACTGCAGGTGCAGCTCAGTTTTGCTCCAGTGGCGCTGCCCCATCTGGGTGCTGCTGGCTGCCTGGTGAGGCCAGGAGAAGCAGCCCAGCAAGGAGCTTCCTCTTTCCACACAGGACTTGATGGTCTCAAACACATGTAGCACAACACTGAGTTTAAAAGCCTAAGATCGCCTTTTGCTCACAGAAATCTTTGTATTTCCTACCCAGTACTTATGGTCAATAACTTTAAGATGTGTAACCCTTTACCTGTCAGGATACAAACTGGGGAAGTGTGGACTGTTAAGTCACTTTCAAAGGCATGAATGACCAGTTCACTTCCTATGTGGATTATCAACAGGAGATTCTAGATGCTGCTAAATGCCAAAATTAGAGCTGGAGAATATGTAGCTGGTATGAAAGATGGGGGAAGAGGATCAAGAGTGAGGGAGGCGCATGTGAGACAATCTCCCCCGGGAGTATCCTTAGGAAAAAAGCCACCCTCTTGCTCTCTCAAAGCTAGCTACTTTAGTTCTGAGAAGCTACAATTAGATAGTGCTACAATGACAGAAAATTTCAACAACTAACTCTAGTTCTTGTTCTACTCATGTCCTGAAACAAGGCCAAGATTCATCAGACCTTAAAACACAGTGATAGACTGCTTAGATTATGACGGCCCAAATCTCTGTGGTTTGGAATTATTTTGAGACTAATACTTTTAGGGTTGTGAGTGCCTCAATCTGCCAGTTCTTCCTGTGTATTAAATCTTCAAAAAACTTAAAGCTTATTGGCAACAGATTTCAAATTTAAACTAACCACTTAAACATTTTTTGTATGCCAAAACAGGAATAAAAAATGTACCTTTAAAAACACATAATAAAAAGAGTATTTCTTAAGGAGTCATGTGTATGTAAACAGTAAATTTCCTTAGACTTCGCATACTGAATATAAGCATTACCATAAAAAGATTACCTTTCTGAGTCACTTTACCCACAATCCTATACTGCTAATAATTTTAACAGCAAAGTAATTAATTTAGCCAGTACAGGGGAGCTCTAAACAAGAACATTTTAAGGCTCATTAAAAATAACTGATTTACTGCACACCTGTAATTCTGAATTACACCACCAAAAATACACTGAGAGGGCTGAGCCCAGGCATTCATAGCAGTATGCCAGGGGAATATGAGAACCAGTTTGGAAGTATCCGAATCAACCACCAGGCTGGCTCCACACTTAAGGGTGCAAAATAGTGAATTAAGGTGAACTGCTTCTACATCCAGAAACACCATGGCTGCTGCTGCTACCAGCTTTAAGGTTTCCCAAACCGAATTACTGAATGGTAAAGCAGTAAAAGTGTCACCTACTTTATCCATCATGTCCCAAAACTGGTTCACACACTCCTAAAAATGAAAAAATAATTTGGCCTGCAATCTCTTACAAAATTCTAACAATTGCATTTTCAAAGCCACATTCCTGGTTCTTGGAACTACTATACCTTATTATCAATGGAAATAGCAATTCAGCAGTTCAACCAAATCACGAGAACACAAATTTGGAGGTTATTCCAAAAGCTAATTCGAATGAGGCCCAACTGTACTGTACAGAAATTCTAAGCTTATATTGAAGCAGCAGTCCCAAAAACCAAGAACACTGCATCTGGGATGCAGCATGACACGCCCTTCAGACAAAAAGAAGAAACTTCACTCTTGCCCTAGGAGCATTGGCAGGAATGATTTGGCTGATCAAGGCAGGAACATCAATCGCACACCAAAACGTTTTTCCATCTGTGTTATCTGGAGAAATACCACGTGGGAGCAGCACGCGTTACTGTACGGAGAGTTTCACAGTGCCTAGTGCTTCTTGCATGTCATGGTCAAAACAAGTGATGGGACAATGATGGCAGTGCCATTCATAATTTCCAAACCCAATGCAGGGAGCACCAGTACACATACCAAAATGGCCTATCCATGGGGCATCTCTGTCACTGAAATGTTAAATCATTTGACAAATCAAGCTCACATCTCTTTTCATAATGAATGCTCCAGAAAACCAATACCTTTCAGTCATGCAAAGATTCCATGAAGGGTAGTATGAGTCTAGGACAGGGTGGGTGGTTGGGGGTGCCTCAAGGCAATATACAAATTGTTCTCTACCACAGTGTTGTCTAAACCAGGGTTAGGCAGCCTCTTTAGTCCTAAATGCCACCAGCAGGGCCAAGAAATCAGGAAAGAAAGGAAGACAACAGCAGCACAGGAGGGAAAGAGGATAGAGAAAGAGGATACTGCAGTGTGCACGAGGGTGAGGACCAGAGACAGGCCTCCTGGTGGCAGCAGAGCTTGGTTGCTTCCCCTGCCTCCCCACTGGAAAGTGTCATCTAAGCTATGACAATGCACATGCTAAGGCACCGCATTACAAAGCAGATACCTTGAGCTCTACTCTATTTTTTCCCCAGAGGGGAAAAACCCTAACAGTTAAAATAGAAGATAACATTTTATAGTTTGGAATCTAAGAAGGATAAGGTCCAGCTACCAAATTTTGATCCCAGGAAGACACCCATAAAATTTTAAACAAGCTATCTTCCTGTGAAACTTAAAAAGCTTAAAAAAAGGGGAAAAAAAGAAAAAAGAAAAGAAAAACCTCTCCCACCTAACGTGCAAAATTCAAAAAATTTCAACAGAAGAAGGATCCCCTGAAGCCTAATTCAAGCCCTATTAACCATACTAAGCCAGTAAAATAATCTGTAGGCCAAAGGACCATACAAACCATCCGGTTTGACACACAGGGGCATGACCACAAAAAAAGAAAAAAACAACAACAAAAAACAACAAAAAAAACTGGGGTGAGGTAAGGGGGCTTCACTCTTAAGCCTGGAAAGAACATGCTCTACCCAGAGCCAGTTTCACTGACCAAAAATAACCAAGGAATTAGCCACAGAAAAGATGACACACCAACCTTCTTACCCTATTCAACCACCAGTACCATTACCTTTTTCTTTAACCAGGTCTTTAAGTGACTGCCACTTCACATCAAAAGGTATGTTTGTAATGAAGGCTCTGTATCTTTTAGTTGGATTGGCATATGGCTCAAAGCGATTGCCTCCTCTCTTTATGTTTTTCTCCTTCCTCTTCTCATTCTGAGCAGGTCGTTCTCCTTCACTAAATTCAAGAGAGGGAAAAAAGGTAAAGAATTTATATGTCAGCACAATATGAAAGATAATTATTTCATTTGCCAGGTTTACAATTCCACATAAAGTTACACATGACACAAGACTGCTACTGGTCAGATGCGGTGGTTCAGACCTGTAACCCTAGCACTTTGGGAAGCCAAAAAGGGGGGATCGTTTGAGGCCAGGAGTTCAAGACTAGCCCAGGCAACATATCAATACCTGGTCTCTACAAAAACAAAATAAAACTTAGTCGGGTGTGGTGGCGCACTTGTAGTCCCAGCTAGCAGGGAGGGCAAGGTGGGAGGATCACTTAAACTCAGGAGTTCGAGGCTGCAGTGAACTATGATTACCCTACTGCACTCCAGCCCAGGGTGACAGAGGAAGACCGTCTCAAAAAAGCAAAGACAAGAGTAATGTTGGTTTTGAAATTAAGACATTCAAAGTAAACTGCATCACAGGGCAGAAAGTCTTCCCAAGGAAAGGTACACTTTCCTGCACTTACAAATATTCCTATGGACAGTAACAGAGACAATGGGAGGCCAACTACCGACCAAGGTGTGTTAATTCCAAGACAGAAACGGGAAAAGAGAAAGATGATTTCCAAGACTTCATGGAATAGAAATACGAGGTAGTGCATATAGGTCCCACCAATTTTAGCTTGACAAATAACTGTCTTTCACAGTGTTATTATAAAAAAAAAAGGGGGGGAAAGGAGCCATAAAATGATGCAGCCGCCATGGGAAGCAGGGTCACTCAAAATTAAACACAGAATTACTATATGACCCAGAAAATCCACTGCTAGGTATATATACCCAAAAGAATTAGAAGCAGAGACTCATACACGTATGCCAATGCTCACAGAAGCATTATTCATACAAACCTAAAGGAAGAAACAACCCAAGTATCCACCAATAGATGAATAGAATAAACGAAAACATGGAATATCCATGCAATGGGATATTATTCAACACAAAAAGGAAGGAAATCCTGACACAGGCTACAGCATGCACAAACCTTGGGGACACTATGCTCAGTGAAATAAGTCCATCACTGGAGGCCAAATATCATGATTCCACTTATTAAATACCTATAATAAGCAAATCCATACACAGAAAGTAGAACAGAGGTTACCAGGACCTAGGGGGAGGTGGAAATGGGAAGTTATTAAACACTGAGCATGGAATTTCATTTGGGATGAGAATAAAAATTCTAGGAATGGGCAGAGGTGATTGTTGCAAAACACCATACTTCAACTGTACACTTAAGCTTTAAAACGGTCTATTTTATGTATATTTTAACCACTTTTTTTTTTTTTTGAGTCGGAGTTTCGCTCTTGTTACCCAGGCTGGAGTGCAATGGCGCAATCTCGGCTCACCGCAACCTCCGCCTCCTAGGTTCAGGCAATTCTCCTGCCTCAGCCTCCTGAGTAGCTGGGATTACAGGCACGCGCCACCATGCCCAGCTAATTTTTTGTATTTTTAGTAGAGACGGGGTTTCACCATTTTTTTTTTTTTTTTTTTGAGACAGAGTTTCACTCATGTTACCCAGGCTGGAGTGCAATGGCGCGATCTCGGCTCACCGCAACCTCCGCCTCCTAGGTTCAGGCAATTCTCCTGCCTCAGCCTCCTGAGTAGCTGGGATTACAGGCACACGCCACCATGCCCAGCTAATGTTTTGTATTTTTAGTAGAGACGGGGTTTCACCATTTTGACCAGGATGGTCTCGATCTCTCGACCTTGTGATCCACCCGCCTCGGCCTCCCAAGTGCTCGGATTACAGGCGTGAGCCACCACGCCCAGCCCTATTTTAACCACTTTTTAAAAATCCAAAAAGGTGACAAACAAACTATTGCTATACAACCATACTACTTAGAAGCTGGGCAACTCAAGTTTGAGCAACCCTGAAAGGTGGAAGACAGCAAGCAAACAATCCCACCTTTGGCAAAGAAGGGTGGCTGTTTTTCCAGCATGGCCTTCCCAGTCATACTCTACCTTTGTGTGTTAGGTGCCACCACAATGTGATACCAGCCATCTTTAGGCAGCAGCCATCAGGCTTGGAGGCCCGTGCACTGGCTGACAGGGCTCTTCCCTCAGCTGCCAGCTCAAGTGCACCCCCTCTGACTACAGGGAGGCACGGATGAGAGCTGACTAGGAATAAGTGAGAAGCCAGAAGCTACCCCAAGTTTCACAAGCAACTGAGCCTTGTACTTTATGCTTCCTGAGACCTATGTGTCCCGCCAGTGAGAATCCAGTGACTCCCAGACCACAGGCTCTACTACACAGTTTGTGATCCATGACAAAACTGGAAAAAAAGAAACAAAAAGCCAAGACTACGGTACTCATGATTTATAAAAGTATCTTTAACTAAATGGCTAATTTTTATTCTGGGACGTAACTTTCTTTTGTAAAAGAAAAGTAGTGCCTACATACCAGGTAGTAGCTGGAGGAGTTTTTAAAAGTGTATTTATTTGAGTCTGGGCGCAGTGGCTCCCACCTGTAATCACAGCACTTTGGGAGGCCAAGGAGGGCAGATCATCAAGGTCGGGAGTTCAGGACCAGCCTGGCCAACATGGTAAAACCCCATCTCTACTAAAAATGCGAAAATCAGCTAGGGGTGGTGGCATGTGCCTGTAATCCCAGCTACTCAGGAGGCTGAGGCAGAAGAACTGCTTGAACCCAGGGGACGGAGGCTGCAGTGAACAGAGATTGTGCCATTGTACTCTGGCTGGGTGATAGAATGAGACTCTGTCTCAAAAAAAAAAAAAAAAGTATTTACTTGAGGCCAGGTGTGGTGGCTCATGCCTATAATCTCAGCATTCTGGGAGGCCGAGGCTGGTGGATCATGAGGTCGGGAGTCACTTGGCCTAGGAGTTTGACACATTAAGACCCTGTTTTGTTTTGTTTTTTTTTTTTTTAAAGACAGGGTTTCACCATGTTGGTCAGGCTGGTCTTGAACTCCCGACCTCAGGTGATCTGCCTGCCTTGGCCTCCAAAGTACTTGGATTACAGGCATGAGCCACCACACCCGGCCTAAGACCCTGTTTTTATTTTAAAAAACAATAACTAGCTGAGCATGGTGTCGTGCACCTGCAGTGGGAGGATGGCTCAAGTCCAGGAGTTCAAAGTTACAGTGAGCTATGATTGCACCACTGCACTCCAGCCTGGTAGACAGAGCCCTGTCTCAAAAATAAATAACAATGTATTTACTTGGAAAAATTTTGAAGTCACTAACTTTTTGTAGCCCCCAAACACAAGAGTGCCAAGGGGTATCCCAGCAAGGGTATCACTGGTATGAGCTACACCCAACTCAACACAAGGTAATAAAACCAAGGAAAGGCTGGGTGTGGTGGCTGAAGTCTGTAATCCCTGCACTTTGGAAGGCTGAGGCAGGCGGATCATGAGGTCAGGAGTTCAAGATCAGCCTGGCCAACACGGTGAAACCCCATTTCTACTAAAAATACAAAAAATTAGCCAGGCGTGGTGGTGCATGCCTATAATCTCAGCTACTCAGGAGGCTGAGGCAGAAGAATCGCTTGAGCCTGGGAGGCGGAGGATGCGGTGAGCCGAGATTGCACCATTGCACTCCAACCTGGGCAACAAGAGTGAAACTCTGTCTCAAAAAATAAAAAATAAAACTAAGGAAAGCAGGTTCCTCTGTGATCTCAACTATACCAATACCAATCGATAGGCTTCCTTTTCCACAGGCTGGCTGATAAGGTGATGTTATGGCCACTCCAATCCCTAGATGCCTAGAACGTAATCTACCTGAGTCCACAAGACTGGTTTCACACCACAAAGCAGATTTCACAGGAGACTTACGACTGTTACCCAGGCCACTTGTCTACTCCAAAAGAAAGTCTTTCACCAAAGTCCACCAAACAGAATACATCTGCCAATGCATCTCCTACTCTTTCCTGGAAAATGATGACGAAAGTGTTAGAAAAACTCATAAAATGTAACACGATCTACACATTGTGGTCCACTACAGGATTCACAGATGGAAATGAATTTTAATATTGTTACTTTGAAGTCCCAAATACTTTAAGATTTACAATAAAAAACATTCTGGGCCAGGCGCACTGGCTCACACCTATAACACAGCACTTTGGAAGGCCAACCTGTGTGGATCACGAGGTCAGGAGTATGAGACCAGCCTGGCCAACATGGTAAAACCCCATCTCGACAAAAATATAAAAAATTAGCTGGGCATGGTGGTACATGCCTATTGTCCCAGCTCTTCAGGAGGCTATGGCAGGGGAATTACTTGAACCCAGGAAGCAGAGGTTGCAGTGAGCCAAGATTGTGCCACTGCACTCCAGCCTGGAGACAGCAAGANAAAAAAAAAAATTGACAGAGTCCATGATGAATATTTCCAGTCTGTTTTCACAGACTGCTTAAGCTTACCTATAAGCTACAAAATGTATAATTAACTAATTACAGCCAAAGCAGGTAACAAAGTAGCTAACCTATATTCCACAGGTGCATACTATGGCTACGAATAAACCTCCCAATCTAACCACGTAAGCTGAGCATTTGGTTTGGGGTTAATCCACATCACATGACTCACCACTGAGAAAGCAGCCCTCACCATGCTTAATGGGCACAGCACCTCTGTAAACAAACCCTTCTCTGGCTAATCATTTCCTCTGAGAGGTTTCCTCAGTAAATGAGGTTAGAACTACCTCTTGTCATTTCCAGCTTTTAAAAAATTGATCTTTTTGGAAATCTACCACCAACAACTCAATTCCTGACAGACTTGTAGAGAACAACCCTCAAAAAGAAGTATCATTCAAGACTCATATTCAAGCAGACTAGCCATGGTGGCTCACGCCTGTAGTCCCAGTAGTTTGGGAGGCTGAGGTGAGTTGAGTCCTTGATTCCAGGAGTCTGAGACCAGCCTGGGTAACATGGCAAAACCATGTCTCTATAGTGGAAAAAAAAAAAAAAAAAAAATACAGAAAATTAGCCAGGCACCACTGTGGTCCCAGCT